CTTGAGGTTGTCCATGACAACAGTGAAGCCTGAGAGAATGTAGCCCCCACCTCCACTCATCAGCAGTTTGGGATGACTTCGATCTGGCAAAACCTAATCAAGACAAAAAGATATTCACGTACCCACAGGCAGACAAAGCACATGCTAACACCACACATGCCAAAACTGGAGTTTAGACGACATAGAGTCTCTTGAGCACTTAAAATGGATCTACTCCTAATGAATTCATTGCATTACATGACAGTAAAGATAAGACAGAGAAGTAGTGGAGAAAGTTAACTGGCGTGATTTTCTTTTGAAAAAAATAAATAAACAAGCTTTTACACCTGAAGTTAAATCAGGAAGAGTAAGGGTAAGTCAGGGGTTTCTGCAGTGCTTCAGGTCTGTCTCAGCATTTCCCCACTTGGCTCCAGGAAGATTCATGGCCACAGAAGGAGCTTGGGTCTATGGACAAGTATTGCTGGTGGACGTATACTCAAAGAGTGTTCATTCCACATTACCCTGTTAATTCTGACAAGAATTATTCTCTCCTGTTGCCACAATAAAGTAAGAAGACCTTCATGAAGGGAGTACCTGCCAAGGTTCTAGAGAACCCTTACTCCAGTACGGTCACTGAGAGGTACAGCAATCACCCTTCACAATGGGACTGGTCACAGGGAGGGCAGGTAACAGAAAGTCTCCAGAACTTCTGGGATCTGCCACAGCATTCATACCAAGGGAGCCCATGGGTACCAGGACTGGATCATCTGACTGACACATAGCTCTGATAATGGGCAATCTTTGCTCTGGGGTTCTACCTAGAGCACAGGCCTCTGCACCATGGTCTGAGGGCTCCTCACTCTACTCCCATGAACATTCCAAGGCAGTTCTTCCAAGAAATCCCTTACACTTCTAATTCCATCTTGGCATACACCTCCCAGAGGGCCTGAACTAACATACAGTCCATGAGTAACTCCTGAAAACTTTCCACAAAGATTTTCCAACAGAGAGGGAAAGGCTACTTTGTCCACCTGGGGATTTTGCTATTGTTAATTACTCCCTCCACAGTAAGACTAGAGCCTTGGCAAAATATGAACAACTGTTTGCATTTTAACTGCCTCTGGGATGAAGCAAGAGAATAATACCCTTTGTCATAATAAATGAAGAAAACAAAAAAGGTCAGGAATATTTTGAGTTACAGGCATGGGTCAGCCTTGTCTCTGTAGACAGAAGCAGGGGTGCCTCTATTTCAACGGTTCCAGTTTACTACAAGGAGCCTGGGAGCTAGGCGAGCTGCCCCTGGGACTAGTGATAAGAACACATACCTGGTAATTTCGGAGCCAGGTTTCAGAAAGCCTGAGGTTAATAACCCCTCCTCTCTCCCGCAGTTTTGTGTAGCATTCCAAAAGTGGCTGAAGACAAAAACAGTTCAGTTAAGAATTGTTTCTTGAGCAGTAGTCTGAAAATCAAGAATCATATGTAAAAATTCCCACCCAGTGCCTTTCAGGATTACCTCCTTATACTGACAGTAGACCACAAATGGCCTGGAAGGGGCCACAAAGTCCAGCAAAGACATCAGCAGCGGAATGGGATGGAAACGACTTGCTACAATTAAACTGAAGGGGAAATGGTAAACAAATTATTTCTTTGCTTCTCCAAAGTGAAGAACAGGTTTTTAAAGGCATTTTTAAAAAATCAAGCGTTTACGTGCATACCTCCCACAAAGAAGACATTTAGATAGAACATTCTAGAAATTCAAACTAGAAAAAATCCCACAAAAACTGTTTCTTTCTAGGAGATACAGACTGGATGAGAAATTGTCCTGGTGCTTGGCAACTCTAACTAGGTAGCATTTTTCATAAAAACAAAAAAACAAAATTTAAGCTGGAAAAAATAAAATCAACACTTATATGTAACAGTTAGACAGATATCTGAATCTACTTCTTATGAGGTTGTTCATTAGCCCCTCAGACAGTTATCATAGCATTTTGAATACCCACTATTTGCACCTACACTTCTGTATGGAATATATCACTATTAGAGATAGTTAAAATTTCTTTTGACATTCTTAAATCATCTGTTTTCCACTTACACCAGACCCGGCCTTCTTTCTTTAAAAACCCAAGATAGAATTCTAATCTGTTTCCACCTTCCATTAGATTAGGAACAGACACACGGGAAGAAAGAACACTGTTTGAGGAGGAACCCACAAGCACCCAGAAACCTGCAGTTTTCATCAACGCACCCATCTGCGTTTCTTTCACTCAGTAGAGCAGCTGCCTCTAAATGTCTTTTCCTCTGCTCTTCTTGTCTCCTTTGCTTTTCCTGAATCTTTAAAAAGAAAAACAAGAAACCAATGTACTATTCCATACTATTTTTATGGAAATGCTGGTCAAACATTTCAACAATATTTATCCACTTGGACTAAAACAGAAAGAGGTTGTTTATAAGGCAGCTGAGACAAAAAGCCTAAGTATCTGAAGGTCATTACTAAGTTACCTATATAGTGCTTCCGTGTCCTAAAGCGCCATTCCAAATATTAATACACAGACACATACACAAAAATATACAGGCATTCTCCCTATCTTCCCACATTACTTATCTTAGGGGATGACACCCCAAGGCCAAGGCAAATGCCATTTCTTAAAGGGAGTAGCTAAGGACCTTTGGAAATGGGAAGAGGGCAGATACCAGGGACTCCTGATATTCTTACATAATCCTTTTTGCTTCCTTTCTCTTTCGGTTCTTTACATTCTGCATCTTCAGGAACAATTTCCATTGTTTCTTGTTCTTCTGGGAGAGTGCTCTCTGGGACTTCCACCGTGTTGTCTTCATTTTCCTGTTCAGAAGTCTGTTTTTCCTCAACTATGCCATTACTTTCTTCAACTGAGGCACTGTCTTTTGGCTCTAAAGACAACATCTCGGATGAAAATGTCCCATTTAGAAGACTGTCCACTTTGTTAAGGGGGAATTCATAAAGACCATTGAGGAAAGATTTGGGAAATCCAAAACTTGCTGTTGCTGCTCGAACAGGTCCACCTCCAGGATACAGCTGAATAATGGAGCCAAAACCTTAACAAAGAAAAGAAACAGACATCTGCATGGTGGAGGCGACTCTAGAGCTCAACACTCAGCCAGTCCTTCACAGAAGAAAACTGTAGGTCTGTCTACTTTGTTCGGAGGCTGAAGGATAATACAGCTCCTCAGGGTGTGTGTGTGGAATCTGTAAGTATCTTCAGTGGAGCTATTGTATTACCAAACTGGTAAGCAGTTTGCCTTAATACTCCTCATTTATCAACATGGTTATTTTCCAAAGACAAAGTTATTATGCAAAAACTGTCAAGTGAAAATGGAGGGTGACTACATCATCACATAACTACCAAATTACATCATTAGAAATCTGCCAAATTTCAGCATTACATAGCCACCAAATTACATCCTTACACGACTGCCAAACCGCTAAAAATCACGGCCAAGTCAACATAGAACCTTAACCATCATAGCCGGTATTACTCTTGCTTCATACCTCAGTATCTGTTAATTGCCAGATATAAGTCATTAATGTGCAAAACAGTCAGGATAGTTTACTATGGTCATATATGCAAAATGACAGATAACACGATAGCTGGTGAGGAGCCAGCATATTGTAAGAACTGACCATGCTAATCTTCTGTGGGGTCACAGAGAGAGCAGGCAACCCCTTAAAACATGTCCTTAGTATTCTTTCTGTCTAATCCCCTCAATTCAGGAGACTCCTCGTGAGGCACTGTAGGGTAGGCATTGGACTGTACCAAAAGGTTGGTAGTTCTAACCCACCAGCAGTTCCTTGGAAACCCTATAAAGGGTCACTATGAGTCGGATTCGACTTGATGGCACTTGACAACAACAAGCTATCGTGGAGATTCCTGAAATCACTGTCGTGGAAAGCCCAGACAGTTACAGGTTCAGGATCATTTGCATGGTTACTGAAGTTGGAGAGCATAACCACCCACAGGAAGTATGGAGTATGCAGGAAGATCCTAGGGCCTGGAGCTGTGCAGCCTCACCTAGTCATTGCACTAACCCTACAGCTACTCTACACCACTTTTCATGAGCTCACATTTTTTGGACCCCTCTATTACATTACAGTGAGGCTTTACTAAACTGGAAAACATTAAATCTCACCTCCCATTCGTTCCATCATTGCACCCAGCACCAAACCGGCACATGTCTCCATTACAATCATTTTATTGCCAGCGCGGATATTACCCAACGTCAACATCTGGGCTAGTGTATCGTATCTCATGTGGCTAAGAAATATAAAAACAATTCATTCATTTTTAGCTATAGGAAACCTTATTATTTCAGTCTTCATTTTTAATGTTTTGCTTTTTTTGCTTTACAAACATTGTGGTGATAATATTATTGATGGCTTTGGAGGCAACAATAAAAGGGCTCAATTGATCAGGGAGGACACTTCATGCAGGTGAGCAAGGTTTTCATTTTCTTTAAAATCATGACTTTCTTAAAGCTGTATTTCTCCCAATTGTACTTTTGAAAGGAAATGACATACTTGATTTTTCCAGGTTCTCTTGCATAATACATCACAGAGAGAATACGGGTGGAAGGCTTCACTACAGTAACAACGGCTTCATACCTGGGGGAAGACACCAATAGAAAACAAAAATACTGGTTAAAAAAAATCTCTGGGGGTGGTTTTCATCCTCTTCAAACAAAAACTACTTACTTCTTTTTCTTCTTTTTAATATATTTGTCTTGAGAAAATTCTGTCTTGTCTCGGAATGTTGTACTATTTTCAATTAACTGCTGAACTATTTCCTACAAGAAAAGAAGCAGATTTTCTGAAGCTACTTACACACAACAAATAACTTCAGAGGTTTTGACCCCAGAATGTATGCAGAGGTCTGATTCTTAACACCCCTTTCTACACATGTCCAGTTAGAGGACCTCCGTATTTTTATATTCTACCTAGAATTTTTGTAAAACCAAGGTAAAAGAACAGAAATATACGGTGAAAGGGGAAGAGAGGAAAATAAAACTGTCGTCCCCAGCAAAGCTCTGACGTACACAAAGTTATTAAATTCTCTATGACTGCCAATAATAGTCATGCCTTTCACACATATTCCAGCAAGAAACAAAAGCTTTGACATACTTAATTGCACGGTTTATTCTCAGTGCCGACTTTTACAGAAGCATAACATTATTTTTATATTTACCTTAAGTAAATTCTCCTTTAAAAACCAAGCGATTTCTCAATACATAAACAAAAAATTCTTTGTATATTACCTCTCCTTTAATGCCTTTGTCCTTCAAAGCTTTTATATCATCTTGAGTAAGTTTCTGAGATTTCCCATCATCGATTATATTTCGATTATCAATGCCCGCTTCTTTAGTCTCTGAGGAAGGAAATTGCTCTATGACCTGTACAATCTGTAGTTATTTTATAATCTCCTAAATTGATATCCACACACAGCCCTTCAGCCACATCAATGTGGCCTCCCAGTACCACCGCTCCCAGCCAGTCCACTACCCTTTCTTGCTATTACTACTCTAACTCTACTCATTTGCCATGTTCCCACACTTGTCTTCCCTTACCATATACCAGAGCACTCTTTATTTACATGCAAAATGGCTCATCTGCCCCATTCTGAAAGCCACACCGTGGATTACCAAAGCAATGAGAATATATTCCAAACCCAATCTATAAGCTGTATAGGGTCTGGCTCCTGTCGACCTTTCCTGGCCTCTACTGATCCCTCAGGAGCTCTGGTAGTGTAGTGGTTACAAGTTGGGCTGCTAATCTCAAGGTCAGTAATTTTAAACTACCAGCAGCTCCACGGGAGAAAGATGAGGCGTTCTGCTCTCGTAATGATTTACAGCCTTGGAAACCTTATGCAGGGTTACTGTGAGTCGGAATTGACTCCATGGCACATAACCACCGTCCACCACCACTGATCCCTAGGTTCCAGCCACACTTGTTCCCTGAATTCACTAAGCAAGGTCTCACTGTGGCGCTTTGGTACTTGCTGCTCCCACTGCCTGGAACATCCTCCAGACAGATGTGGGAGTACCTGGAGCCTTTTCCTCCTCCAGGACTGAGCTCGTCATCTCAGCAGTCTCTCACCCAGTCAGGAGCCAGCACACTCACTTATTTCATGATATTCAGCATGGCTCACCCTTGACATTATCCTCCTTCTTATAGACCTGCTTATTTTCAGTCTTCCCTACTGGTTAGCAGATTTTATAAAACTCTCTACTTTATCAACTGCTATAATTCCAGTACCTAATCATACCTGGCACTTATCTGGTATGTAATAAAAATTTGAATGTTAATGAATATATGACATATAGACCGAAACGTTAATAGTGCTTTAATTAAAAGTAACAGCTATAATTTTGGGGTCCTTACACACACCAGGCACTGGTAAGAACCTCTTAACCAGGTGTTGTACAACTTGCTACAACTCAGGGATTAAATCATTTATGGCCCCATTTTACACATGAGGCTGTAAGGCTCAGGGAAAGCAAATAACTTACTCAAGTTCACAAACAAGTAATGAAGCAGAACTTAAACCCAGGCAGATGGGAGTTAAAGCCAGACCTCTTAATTTCTACACTATATGCTAACTATCTTGCCATTGTTATTTAACATCTGGACACTGAAGGGGCTCTCTAAACTGCTCTTGTGATGAAGCAGCAAAAAGGACTCAGGACTAAATGCCTGGCTCAGAGTCAGAGAGCCGGCTAATGGTGTGCTGGAGCCCGATGCCTGGTCTGTCAATGCTAAAGATAGTAATTGCTCAAGCTATAGTTCTTAGATGATGGGTGTAAACTTCCTTTAGGTTATCCCAAATGAGCACTCTAGAATAGATGCAGTGACATGCTTCGGATTAGTCAGTTCAAGAGCATCTATTTCATATGCCTAGAGTAGCGCACCTGAAGTAGGCTCTTCCTTCTTCTTCTTGGGCTGAAGACTTCCTCCATTGGTCACTTCAAAGGTGGTTCCGTAACTATGGCCAATGACATTATCCAGATAGAACCACTGTTTTTCAAAAGTTACTTTTCTGGAGAAGAAAAAGTAACCAATCTCATTTGCGTTCTTTATAGAAAAGACATGCTCACTCTAATGTTTGCTTTGTTTTTTTTCAAAACTAGATTCCACAAAAGATGAACAGCATTATTTCTGAACACAGAATGGCATGCAAACTAGAGAACTGGGTTGAGGTACAGGCATAAAATTAATAAATGAGCTGTAAAACACTGAATTTGGGGGAAAGGCACAATGATAGGAAACCTTCCTCTTCCGATCCTAATCTGAATGATTGGACATGATGCCCAAACCCACAGGTTGTGTGATTTCCTGAACAGAGGCCAGGGTCACCAATGTTACCAGCCCATTGGACACACCTAGGGACATTCCTTGCAATGTACACAAGGAAATCTCAAAATGGAATCATCAGTGAGATGAAAAAGATTTAACAAATTCACCAGTCTAACTGGCCATTTTACTGGGGGAAAAAAATTAGCAAAAAAGCAAAGTCTATCCACACACAAACAGTACTGACAATCTACACATTTGGAAACAATGCCTAACACTGGCTATGCTACATTGAGGACCAGTTGCCTTTACAGAGTTCCCATTAGGCAGATTTTAAAATCTTACCACAATTTATGAGGGAAATCCCATAAAAACAAAAAGCCTCCCTTTTAAAAGAAGAAAACAACATCTGCTGAATGTCAACCAAGGGTTAACAGTGTGTGCTTGGTGCATTTCATCCTTTTCATTGAATGCTGACAGTAATCCTGGGGCATAGCCTTTTCTGGATGAGCTGTCAGAGCAGAGCATCAGTTTTACATTTAACACTTCATACTTTGTTTCATCTCAATGATTGCAAGCCCATCCAGGTACCGCCAGTTATCCCACTTCCTCCCTGGGATTTGTTTCCATTCAACCTTCTTTTCTAACCCTTCTGAGTTTTGTTCTTAGGTAAGTGCTGCCTTTTTGTTCTTGAATGGTGGACCATTCAATGCACTTCGGTTGCATACTTCACTAGTGTTGTTGTCCCCTATATACCACTGAGCCATGAGAGTGAGTTAAATTCCAGACCTAAAAGATGATCAAGGGCTAAAGTCTCAGTTTTCTCCAGATCAGTAAACCTGGCCTTTTTAACAGAACAGTCAGTAGTGGTAGCTGGGAAATTGCTTAACTTTTGTTGATCTTGCACCCTTTGGTATAATGAGGGAATTAAACAAATTCCACACTCTATGGAAAGTTATCGCCTATCTTATTCTGTGCAGACAGGTGTTCCTCTTAGGGTTGAGGCATGAAGCTGGAAAACCAAAGTCAAGAAGGAAAAAAAAAACCGTTGAGGTCAGTTCACTTGTGGGTCTGGAAAATCCTGCTGACTGATTGGAGAAGAGGTGGGTCTAAGGGAAAAAAACGAAGCGGAGGCAATTCTAAGGCAGGAGAGGGCAGTCTGTGAGAAGATCCCAAGGACCTAGGATAAGAGTCCCAGGGGAGAACATCGGAGGGATTCTGGAGAAGGCACTATGTGAACAGACGCAGAGGTATGCCGAAAGCAGGGGGCCAGGTAAGAGACCCTGGAGAGCGGTGTGGTCGCACGTAATGGCCGTGGATGACATGCTGGGGGGTGAGAGGAGTCCTCTTGGAAAGAACTGAAAGTAGAAAACGAGGCACGAGGGATGGAGGCATAGACAGCTAAAATTGGGATCCTGGTGTGAGAGATCTATAGGGAGACCTGGAGAAAAAAGGTCATCTCTTAGATGGGGTCGGAAGATCACTTACTTTCTCCGCTGGACCTGCACCGCTTTAAACACATCTTCTCGTTTCAGCACCACAAAGTCGCCGTCACGGATGCGGTGGTCTCCAGGCTGCGGAGACCGCAGATCTGGCTGTTCCCCTGAGCCTTCCATGGCTCTCCGTCTGCTCCTCTACTCCGCGGGGTCCCTCCAGCTCTCCCGGTTCCGCTGTTGCCTCGGCCACTAACCGCACCTGCCACAACTCCGCGGAACCTGAAGCCCTCCGACCGGCACCGCCCCCACGTGCTGGGGCTGCTTCCGCTTTCCGGCTCTGGCCGCCGACCGCTTCCGGGAGCCGCACGGCCGCCGCCTGGTCGAAAGCCTTGATTGGCTGCACTCCTTGCAGCCCCTCCCTTCTCGTGGCTTCCTTGGATGGAAGTTGCGTCACAGAAGCGCCTAAAAAGAACTTGAAGAAAAATTGGGTTTCAAGTTGTGGCGCGGTTGCGGTGACCTGCAGGTGCTACACCTGCTAGAAGGCCTTCGCGGTTGCGGCGGAAGAAGGCTCCCGGGCCGCTCCGCCAGATAGCACCTGGCTCCCGCTGGATCGTGAGAGAGCCGAGTCTGAGGAGAACCGCCGGACTGGGGCCGGAGTGGCCTGAATACCTTGGACCTCAGACATCGGAGTCTTTTCAGCCCCGTCGTGTTTCTCGCCGGGAGGAAGGGAGAGCTGACCCGGGCCAGGCGCCTCAGTGCGTACCCAGGAGCCGGCCAAGCCGTGAGCTAGGGGAGCTTTGGGCTCCCTATTTCTTGCAAGTAAGGATTTCTCCCCAGGAGACATAAATAAAGTAGGTTATTTTAAACGAAGTACAGCAATTTGATGGGTGATTTCTCTTTTCATTCTCCAGTTCGACCCCTTGCATTCGCGTTGAAATATTAGTAGTTGTTAAGTGCCGTCGAGTCGGTTCCGACCCATAGAGATCCTGTGTAAGGTTTCCGAGGAGTGGATGGTGATCTTGAACTGCCAGCCTTCAGGTTCAAACCGGCTTTGTAGTCCTGTACATAAAGTTTTCCAGGAACGGCTGGTGGGTTTGAAACACCGATACTGAGTTTCAAACCACCTTGCGGTCCACTGCTGTCTCATACAGCGCCACCCTAGAGGTAAAACTGCTCCTTAGGGATTCTGAAACTAAATATTTGTGGGAGCAGACAGCCACATCTTTCTCCTACAGAGCAACTTGTGGGTTTGAACTGCCAACTTTGTTAGTAACCCAGCACTTAACTCACAGTGTCACCAAAGTGCCTTATTTTTATCTTTAGGATATAGTTTTTTTAAAAACCCAATTTTTGTAAGTCACTCATATTTCCATTTTTAATGCCATTTAGTGGGGTAGCAATGTTCCTTTGAATTTAATAAAAGTGAATAATATCCCTGTGTACAAATAGAAAAGCAAATGGAGAAGAAAACAGATTGGATTTTATAGTATATTAGCACATATATGCTTCAAAAACTTGTATGTCAATAATTTTGCTAAAAGCTGCAAAGAACTCATCACTAATCCAAGAAGTTCCCTTGCTTCTGATTTTTTTGTTGTTGAGTGCCGTTGAGTCATTTCACAACTCATAGGGACCCTGTTTAGGGTTTCCATGGAGCAGTTAGCTGGTGAGTTTAAAACATCAACCTTGTGTTTAGCACTCCAATGCTTATTACCAGAGTGCCACACCAGGATATTTTTTTAAGATAGCTGTAAATCCTCAGGAAAGTTGACATCTTTCCCACTTTGGCACCTGCTGAAGAGAAAGAAAGAATCATCATTATAATTCTTACAAAAGTGGATATGACACGGCAGGAATGGCTGGCTGTAAGAAGTTGTAATGATGTATCGCTAGTGTTTTATTGGTTGGGATTCTGTTTAGCCTGTACTGCCTTAGATTTCAAAGCACTGCCAGCAAATTTTCTTGAGTTAATTACCTGCCATATTTTCATTGTTAGCATGAGTGTTTCTTAAAAACAAGTACACTGTTAATTAACTTTTTTCCATTCGTGTCTAAACAAAACTATCAAAATGTGACACTATTGTTGCTCCAAATATTCTCTATATGGGTCGGGACCAACTCAACAGCACTTCACAACAACAACAACGTATCTGTACACTACTGAAGGCAGTGTTTCCATCTCTCTAACCCTTCCCTGAAGAAGTCTGTGCTCTTTGATTTGTTGGTTTGTTGTTGTTAAGTGCCATTGAGTCGGTTCTGACTCATGTTGTTGTTAGATACCATCGAGTCGGTACCAACACATAGCGACCTTATGCACAGCAGAACAAAATACTGCCTGATCCTGGGCCAGCCTCACTACTGTTGCCATGCTTGAGACCATCGCTGCTGCCGCTTGGCCAATCCATCTTATTGGGGGTCTTCCTCTTTTTTCTTACCCTCCACCTTACCAAACATGATATCCTTCTCCAGAGACTGGTCCCACCTGACAAGATGTTCAGAGTATGAGAGATGAAGTTTGGCCATCTTGGCCTCCAAGGAGCACTGTGGCTGCACTTCTTCCAAAACGGATCTATATTTTGGCAGCCCATGGCACTTTCAATATTCTCCTTCAACACCATAACTCAAAGGCGTCAATTCTTCTATGGTCTTCCTTATTCACTCACTGTCCAGCTTTTGCATAGCAACCCTATATAGGGTTTCCAAGGAGAAGCTGATGGGTGTGAACCGCCAACCTTGCAGTTAGCAGTCCAGTACTTATCCTGTAGCGCCACACCAGGGCTCCATCAAAATGGCCATTTTGGCATTCTTGAGGGATTCAAAATCATCTTCCTTTTCAATGTTCTTTGAGTTTAGGGAACAAAAAGAAGTCTGAAGGGGCAAGAGCAGGACCATAGGGTGGATGGGGTAAGATTACCCAATGAATTTCTAGAATAACCTTTGCTTCCCTTGAAGAATGAGCAGCTGCACTGTCAGGATGTAAATTCCTTGGTGCAAATTTCCTGGCTTTTTTCTCACTGGTGCAGTTTTTCCATTAAAATTTCTTCCTAATAAGGCCACGTGATTGTCCTATGCCCTTAGAGAAAAGTCCCCAAAACACAGTTGCCATAACCTGATAACGTAGTGGTTACAAATCAGGCTGCAAACCACAAGGTAAGCAGTTCGAAACTACCAGCTGTTCCGCAGGAGTAAGATGAGGCTTTCCGCTCCTGTAAAGATTTGCAGCCTCAGAAACCCTGTACAGGGTCGCTATGAGTCGTAACTGACTCCACAGCACATAACCACCACAACCACCAATGAAACTTGGGCCAAGGTCAGCAGTTCAAACCCACTAGCTACTCTGTGGAAGAAAGTTGATTGAGGCTGTCCACTCCCCTAAAGATTTATAATCTCAGAACTCCTATGGAGCAGTTCTACTCTGTCCTGTAGGGTCATTCTGAGTTGGAATTGACCCCTAATGTAGGTTTGGTTTTAGTTTAATGAGACTTAACAAGAGAAACTTGTTTGCAGCCATCCACTGATGTTTAAACACGTTTTTCTTGGAATAAACTTGTGCATGTTTAAACAGGAATCCTAGTAAAAATATTTTGACTTTCCATTTAGCTCGACAGTAACCTATGTATTCCTAAAAGTAAATCCAAACACATTGCCATTTAGTGATTCTGACACATAGTGATCCTGTATGCAGGGTTTTGGAGGCTGTAAATCTATACAGGAGTAGAAAGCCATTTCTTTCTCTCTTGTGGTAGGTTTGGCCTGCTGACCTTGTGGTTAGAAGTCCATTGCTTATCTTACAGTGCCACTAGGGCTCTATACATTATGTTGGTGTTAAGTGCCATCGAGTCGGTTCCTACTTACAGCGACCCTGTATAGGGTTTCTGAGGAGTGACTGCTGAGCTTGAGCCACTGATCTTGCAGTTCAAACCGACCTTGAATTTAAGTGTTTATTCTGTGGCATCACACCTGCCTTTAAAAAAAGATGGGATTATATAAAAAGCTGAAGAGTAGGGTTTGTACCATAATGTACTAAGTTGTAAGCTTATTTGCTAATATCAACTTGTTGTTACATGCTGTCGAGTCAGTTCTATCTCATAAAGATCCTGTATAGGGTTACCGAAGAGCACCTGGTAGGTGTGAATTACTGTACTTGTGGTTTGTAGTCCAGTGCTGACCCTACAGCACCACACCAGGAGTCCATTCATTTCCTCTTGTTTACTACGTTAATACATTTTTAGTGGGACTCGCTGTGGGTTAATGCGCTGAACAGCAAAGTTGGTTTGATCTACAAGGTTAGCAGTTCAAGCTCACCAGCCACTTCTCTGAAACTGTATACAGGGTCGCTATGGGTCGGAACCTTAACCACAACAAAACAATATCCCCTACAGTTTTGGTGAAGACTTCTCTAATCTCTTCCTTTTACATAGAAATGAGTGGAGAATATAGAGGCAGAGGATTTGGAAGAGGAAGATTTCAAAGCTGGAAAAGAGGAAAAGGTGGTGGGAACTATTCAGGAAAGTGGAGAGCAAGACAACATGGAGCTCACCTGACTAAAGCCACGGAGAAGCATACTCCAGGTAGGTGAGGCCATAGGTTGTTCAGGTTTGTGTCTCTTTGTCAAGGAAACCATTTATGCCTATTACACAGGCAGTTTAATGCAGATTTCAGTTTCTTTTATTAGTACTTAGATAATATTTGAATGTCAATATCTAAAATTCTGACTGAAATCTCTAATTCAGATAGTCTGTAAATATCTTGGTGAAAGGAGAAGCAACCTGGAAGAATTGTGCTCTATTTCTACTAATCTTGTATTTGACTTCTTTTTCAGAACACACCCCACAGTCTTTGTTACTTCAGTCAACTTTGGATCAGTTCATACCATATAAAGGCTGGAAGCTTTATTTCTCAGAAGGTAGAGCTAAAAGTTTGGAAAAAGAGCTTGAATTGTTTTTTCTTGTCTGTTGGATGCTAACATATTACGATACTTCTTTAATCTTAATTCACATGTTCTCTAGAGCATTTTCTGCCCCCCCTGCAGTTATGGGGTTTATTAAGGAAGTTACAATTTGGGGTCAGAAATGTTCAGGGCAAAGTTTTTCCCAGTCAGCTGCTGATAAATGCCCACAGGACACACTACTCAATCATGACCCTCTGCCTAAAGTCATTCAGTTCTAGCTCCATGGGTCAGTAAATCTAGTAGCGTTCCCACTTAAGTGTCTAGAGATACCCCACCCTACAAGTAAGCTTCCTGCCCAAAGTTACTCAACTTTACTTGTAGAGCAGTATTTTTAGCTTGTGTTTCAATCAGGAAAATAGAAACCACACTAGGTGTTTCAGAAGGAGGACTTCGTACAGGGAATTGGATATACAATGGAAGACCCACAGAGCAAAAAGGAAACACTGTAGTAACCCTCCAGACAATCATAACTATAGGAAGCAGTTACCATTCCTATTTTTGTGAGGGATCAAACAAGTTCTGAGGTTACCGGAACTTAGATATTCAAAACTGGGGCTGCAGCATAGCTGTTGTTGAGACTGCTTGGACTACTGAGAGGAATGAAGCTGGTTACTGCTGGTACCTCTGATGGGGCATGGCGTGGGTGATACTGGGAGGTGGGTACTGGAACTGTAGCTGTCCTTTGCAGCTGGAGAGACACTAAAAGGAATTAGAAACAACAATAAATTCCCTCTTCGTTGCTAACTTCCAATCTGTCAAAAGTGCATCACATTGGTAGAATCTAAAAGGAGACTGGGAAATGCACTGTGCAGAGCTTATTCATAGCATCAAAGAACAGAAAATAGGAAGGTGTACTTAGAACTGACAGACACAGGTTTGCATGGAAACACAGTTTGTTAAGGAATCTCTCTTTTATAATTAAGTTTACCAGCTTGTTTCATACATCAATGTACACAGATTTTGGGAATCTATTTTCTTTGCTATTATAATACCTGGAGTCCTGGTGAGGTGCTGTGGGGTTAATGCACTAGACTGTAAAGCTGTTTGAACTGCAAGGTTGGCAGTTCAAGCTCACCAGCAGCTCCTTGGAAACCCTATACAATTGGGCCATTATTGGGTCGCTATGCGTCAGAACTGACTCGACGGCACTTCCAACAACAATATTATAATACTTATATATGCTTATTTTGTCTCTTACAAGATAGGGATTTTTGTTTTGCTTTGCCTTTTAATCTGTGTGTTTTTCATATTAGACTACTGCTTGAGTGCAAGGAACATGGCGTATACCAGTCAGTCAGTATTCATGTTGTGAATGAATAAAGTATTTTAGAAGTGGTTTCTGTATTGAGAGTCTGTTTTTTTCTGTTAAATAGACTTAGTGTTTCACTGGTGATCTTTAGATGCTTTAGGATGCATTAGCCAATTCCTGACATTCCTCTAGCAGTTAGTCTAAACACTATAAATGTACTTTGGACTGGTCCTAAAAATTGAGTCCAAGAGATGTCTTAGACTTGGCCAACTGTATCTCAAAGCTACTTGTACTGCTTCTCTATGGGAGCCCAACTCTAAGATGTGATACAGCTTTATTGTGTAAACTACAGCTTTACAATTTTTGCATCATGGTGGGCTGTTAGTATGTTTTTCACCCGATAACATGAAGATTTGACAAGTGGCATTTTGGGCTGCTAGAATTTATTTTACAGGGACTGATTGTCCTCAGCTCTGTTCAGTGTAAGAGTTTATTTAGCTAATGTGTGTGGTTTTAATGTTATATAATTTTTGGTTGAAACTTTATCATGTAAGCTATTTGAATTAATATATACTATTTGGTGTCAATGAGCCCTGGTGTGGCACTGTAGAATAAGCACTGGACTGGACCACAAGATCAGCAGTTCAAACCCACCAGCCGCTCTTGGAAACCCTATACAGGATCTCTATGAGTCAGAAGTGACTCAACAGATTAAGTATCAGTGATACAATATAAAGATTCCTAAATATTGGCACTTTTAGAAAGAGACACATTTCGTGCTCGCATTTCTGATTATGCAAATCTAAACTTGTTTTAGAATCTTAAGTATACATTCTACACCAGTTCTTTTCTAAATGTAGTTGGAATACAAAACAAAACAGAAAAATTCATCTACCACGTATATAATGTTTCTTCTGTCTCGTGAAAAATGTTTGTTTTTTTCAAGATAGCACTAATGCCATATTTGTTGGATTAGTTTACAGTGATAGCTCTCCTTTTATTGAGAAGATTCAAGCATTTGAAAAGTTTTTCACAAGACACATTGATTTATATGATAAGGTAAGACACAACAGTTACTAGCCCGCCTTTGTGTCATGCTGTTGAACAGTATAGTTGAGGTGTTAATGATTATGGTCATAGACCCTGGAGTCAGACTCCCTTGGCTCACATACCATGTCTGCTGTTTTCCTATAAAGCAGACTTTGGTGAATAGTTCATTGTGCCTCCGTTTCTTCATTTGTTAGCTGGAGCTAATAGTATTAATGCTTACTTCATAGAATTCTTAAGAGGTATAAGTTAACGCATATAATGTTCTATGCTTTTTACAGTGTGTAATGGAACATTTACTGATGATAATTACTGAAAAAACTGATCATTTCCATGCCTTAATATTTTACAGGATGAGATAGAAAGAAAGGGAAGTATTTTGGTGGATTTTAAAGAACTGACAAAAGATGATGAGATCACTAATTTGGTACCAAATATAGCTAGTGAGCTAAGGGATACACCGGAGAAAACCTTGGCTTGCATGGGTCTGGCAATACATCAGGTAAATATTTACATTTTGCAGACTTTGTCAGAAATTTAATGGAAGATTTCACAGTATCATTACGGTCTATAAAAGATACACTGCTATTACCAACAGATGTTGGCTATAGCTGAGGTGACTATCCTGTCCTAAAAGATACAGTGTGTTCTATATACAATAACCTGCATAAATACAGGCATTCCCTGGAATACGAACAAGATCCTTTTCTAAGTGTTTTTTTTAAGTTGAATTTGTAGGTAAATTGAAACAGGTACATATGGTTCTTATTTAACCTTGGTGGTGGTGGTGGTTATGTGCCGTGGAGTCAGTCCCAACTCATATCAGGCCTGTAGAGGGTTTCTGTGGCTATAAATTTTTATGGTGTGTATCTTTCTCCTGTGTACAACAGACTGAAACACTGCCTGGTCCTGCACCATTCTTACAATTGTTGCTGTATTTGAGCCCACTGCTGCAGCTGCTGTGTCAGCTCAGCTCAGTGAAGGTCTTCTTTGCTGACCCTCTACTTTACCAAACATGATGTCCTTTTCCAGGGACTGTTTTCTTTTGTTCGAAGTGAGAGAAAGTTTTACTGTCTTTGTTTCTAGGGAACATTCTGGCTGTATATCCAAGACAGATTTGTTCAGTAAGTGCTCTTGAGTTGGTTCCAACTCAGCGGCCCTGTTGCTGACCTTGAGGTTGAGTGTTGTTATGAATAAACCTACTCTATGGCACTTAACATCTTTTAACAGCAACAGAGGAGTTCTGGAGTCCTGGTGTAGTGCTATAGGATAAGTACTAGACTGCTAACTGCAAGATCAGCATTCAAAACCAGCCAGCCACTCCTAATAAACCCTATACAGGCTCAGTGTGAGTTGGAACTGACTCGATGGCACTTAACAGCAACATTAGGAGTTCATTTTATATTCATTTCTGAGGTGTTTATATTCATAACTTTCATATTCAATATAAAAAGTCTACTTGAAGAGTATAATTTTGTTTTCCAACTTTTGAATAATTGTCTTTCTTGTTTAGATATTAACAAAGGACCTTGAAAGGCATGCAGCTGAATTACAAGCCCACGAAGGCTTGCCCAGTGATGGGGAGACAATGGTAAACGTGCCGCACATTCATGCAAGGTGAGGATTTTGCCGATATTAAAGTATTATTCAGAGACGAAGCCTGTCTTTAGCCTTCACTTCCATCAGGTTGTGTGTGTGCATTTGTAGACAATGCAGCTATTCATCAAATTGCAAATACACACACGAGAAGTCTAAAGGTAATCCTGAGAATTTAAATCTATCACTGTAAGAATAAGTAAAAACCCACCTACCTTATCTGTGGAAAAAATATTTGCTATTGAGAAAATTTTAAGGAGCTCTGGTAGCATAGTGGTTACAAGTCGGGCTGTGAACTTCAAGGTCAGCAGTTCTAAACTACCAGTTGTTCCACAGGAAAAAGATGAGGCTGTCTGCACCTGTAAAGATTTACAGGCTCAGAAACCCTGTACAGGGTCGCTATGAATTGGAACCGACTCTACAGCGCATAATAGTAATAACATTGAGAAAATTTTAGCTTTTTTTTTTTCAAACGGGTAAAATTTATCGGTGTCATTTTTATGAGAAAAACACATGAGACCTGAAAGACATCTTCCAGGAGCCTGTGATTGGTGTTGGGTGTGCTTCAGCATTTTCCCACCTCCAAATTGGATCTAGAACTCTGTTAGGATCACTCAGGCATACTAATGAATTCATTAAGGGTCCAAGCTGCAGTCCAAGAGCAATTAACAGACTACCCCAGGAACTGCTATTCATTCAGTGCTCAGTAAATGAGATTGGTGAACTTACTGTTACCTGTGACTTTGTTTTTTTTTCAAGTTTTCTTTCTAATTAGTTGATGTGGAAAGAGCATGTGATACAACCAGTGTGGTGGAGTGCTTGGGTTATCCTGTTTACAATAAATCACCAGAATCAAAAAAAAAATAGTATTATTTAGGTTATGGCACTGAAGATTGGTTAAGAATGAAAAGTCTCATTTTGTAAAGCAAAGGAAATCAGGAAGGGTATGAGTGCCCTTACTATCATTGATAATTTACTAAAGTGAACCATGATAACAAGAAGACTTTTCTGCTCCACTAAGTTGATGTCCCAACTTGTTAATGGATATAAACAACAGTTTTGGATGTTTACTTACCAAGACTGCAGTGTAAATTTAATAATTCATATAGTTTGTTAACTGGTGTGATTAGATTCTGTTAAAATTAGTTTCTACGAGGCACAAGGAACAAATGAAATTATAGAAATCATTTTGGTTTTTTTTTTTACTTCATCCTTATTTTTATATTTTATTTATTTATTATATAGTGATCTTTATTTAAGTCTCTGCTGCCAACTTAGTGCTTTCCACCAATTCAGGAGCAGAAAGTTTCACAGACTTCGCAATGTTTTTTAGGTGCTGTCTTTGTGGGACCCTTAGCAGTAGCCATTGCTATCTTTTTAGCTGCCTGCTTAGCCTTCTTTGTATCCTTGATTGCCTTACTAGCCTGTTCTCATTGAGCCTTTCTAATATCAGGTTTCTGATTCCTCTGGGCCCTTATATCAGCAAGAGATACACCAGCAACAAATCTCTGGAATTTGACAACACTGCGGGTTCCTTCAAATTTCTTCTGATTGTGCCATTTTGTCCTTTTTTTTTTTTCATTTTGTCCTTTTGTAGAGAACAGTCCAGTATACCTGTTGAGGGTTCCTCTTGAGAAAGTAAAATTGGGAAACTTTCCATCGGTCCTGGAATAGCTCCTCCTGTGTCTGGGGTAGATCTTGTACCCACTGAAGCTACACAGCTTGATATCCTGTAATGAAAAGGGAAGGCCTTTTAGGGGAGGGTGACAAGGGTGGCAAGGAGACAGTACTGTATTTGAGAATGAGCAGATCCTGTCTTCAGTGTATTTTGAAATTTTAAATTCTTGCTAGGAGAAGTGAATACAGCGATCATCAGAGTTTTGTTTTACCTCTCTGATATTTGTTGAAGATGTTTCATAACAGTTCTTTAAAAACAAGCTAGGTGCCCAGACATTTTTGAATCTATAAACTTTCCTTTTGGCAGTTTATTTCCCTTTTTCCATGGAGAACAGCTGGTGGGACAAGAAGTAAAGAGTGAATTTAGCAATTTTTATTTTAAAAAATAATTGAATTTTTATGAGACACAAAGGTGATGTGGTTTAAGTAGTCCTTAGTGTTCCTAAAAGGAACTTGTAAAAATACAGATAGCCCTAACTTTCTATTTATTGTAAATTAATCAATAAATGCATTCCTGTTTTTTGTTTTTAGGGTGTACAACTATGAGCCCTTGACACAGCTAAAGAATGTTCGAGCAAACTTCTATGGAAAGTACATTGCGCTAAGAGGAACAGTGGTTCGAGTCAGTAATATAAAGCCTCTTTGTACCAAGATGGCTTTTCTGTGTGCTGCATGTGGAGAAATTCAGAGTTTTTCTCTGACAGATGGAAAATATAATCTTCCCACAAAGGTAATCCATTCTTTAACTACTTCTTTATTTGCCCTAGTAAAGAAAGCAAATCAGTTTACAGAAGATAGTTCTTAATGTTTCCGAACACAGATTGTTTTTATTTTTTCAGTTTTTAAATGGCAAAATACTTTAGGATATAGAAAATACATGCATACAGATTGAGTGAGTGGATACATTATTTTTAAATTGCCAGCTGTGTTCCAGTTATTATTATTTTTTTAAAGATATAAAAAATAACAGCAATAACAGCAAAGATCAAAAAAGTAGAGGACAATAAATGCTAGCAGGGATGTGGAGAGACTGGGACGCTCCTGCATTGCTGGTGGGATTGCAAAAGGGTCCAGCTTCTCTGGAAAGCAATGTGACGCTTCCTCAGAAGGTTGGAAATAGAAATACTTTATGATCCAGCAATTCCTTTACTTGGTGTTTACCCAAAAGAAATGCAAGCTATAACATGAGTAGATATATGCACACCACTGTTCATAGCAGCACTATTTACAATAGCAAAAAGATGGAGACAGCCTAAGTGCCCGTCAACTGAAGAATGGATAAATAAACTGGTACATACACACAATGGAATATTACACTAGGAAGCTGCAAGCCACCACATAACATGGATGAACCTTGAGGACATTATGTTGAGTAAAATCAGTCACAAAAGGAGAAATACTGCATAGGACCACTACTGTAAAAGACTAAGTAAATGAACCCATACTAAAAGGGGAAGGGGATTCTTTTCTGGTTACTGGGATGTGGGGGATGGGGTGAGGGGAGGGAGGGGAAGGTGGAGCACAGGGTAGGAAATAGACACAGCATAGTTTGGGTACTAGGGAGGGGGGCAATACACAAAAAGGGGGAGGGGAATGGAAGAAAAAAGCAGACGGGAAAACAATTAGGCAGGTTAGCATGAGCTAAGCGAGACAGAGGTAAATAATGATGTATGCACAAGCTTGGAACAACAGGGCTCTGGTATACAGGGATTTGAGACATAGTTGGAATGGGGAAAAGAGGGGAAATAATGTTAAGATGCTTGGCTGTCTTTTGAATCTTGGTTTCCCTGGTATACCATTATAAAATAGACACTGGAGGGAGAGAGAAAGGAGTAGCCAGAAATATCACCATAGAAAGCTTGTAAGTCCATCTTCTACCTATAAATGATTGGAATACCTAAAATGGGGCTACAACGTGCCCAGTGAAGGAGGCTTCCTGCAGAGCCTCTGCATTACATAAGACCATAGGTGGAATCCTGAACAGCATCCAGAATCTTCTGAGGTGGGAAATTTCCACTTGAAAGGTCAAGCAGACCAGCCTGGAGTGGCTAGAAGAATAGAAGATACGTTTTTTTTTTAAAAAATGTTTTATTGTGAATTATGTGATAGTTTACATGGGAGAACATTAGTTTTACATTCATCCTATCGTATATCGTTTCATTGCCATGGTTATAATACCCTCCATGCATCATCAGCCAGCCAAAGGGTATACACTACAAGCCTGCCCCCTGGTTGTCAGCACACAGCCCCTCTCCCTCTCTGTGTCTAAAGTTCCCAGATGCTCCATATCTCCACGTCATCGTCTCTGCCTCTATCTCAGGCATCACTGCTTCTCTGGGTAGGGTCCCGCTCTCCACTCTTCTCCCTTGATGGTCCCAGGGACCTCTGCTCCTAAACTGAAAAGTTAATCACTCCCCTCCATGCTACAAAACATCTACCTTTACATTTCCAACCCTCACAAGCAGTCCTGATAACAATTATTCACTATTGTATCACAAGAGACCCATTTGTATTTCATTTCATCAGCCCCACCTAGACAGATTAGATACTACTCAGTGGAGATTCTACCTTCCTTCACGCCTTCATATTGTTAAGTACCAAGGAGTTGGTTCCGACTCATAGTGACTCTGCACACACACACACATATATAATATATATATGCATATCTATGTTCATATCAACACTATTCGCATAGTAAAAAGATGGAGATAATCTAAATGGCCATCAACAGAAGAATGGTACACATACAATGGAGTATTATGCAACACTGAAGTGTAAGGATGAATCTACAAAATACCTCACGACATGGATGAACTTGGAGAATATGCTGAATGAAATAAGTCAATCACAAAAGGGCAAATATTGTATGAGACCACTATTGTAAAAAGTTAAGAAAGGATTTTCATGCTAAATCAAACATTTTTTAATAGTTCCCAAAGAGTCGGGGGAGGGGTGGATTATACATGGGCTAAAAGGTAGACACATGTTAACATGGGTGACAGGGAAGGCAATATACAATAAGAGTGCAGGCAGAGGAAAGATGAAGGTAGCAGGGTACTCAGGGATGAGTGTAAGAGTTAAAGGAAACAGTTAATTACTGTTAACTGATGGTCCATGGAGAGGATTGTAATCACTGTAAATGAAGCAAAGTATATGATTTACTGAATTTAAACTTTGCTGGTTGCTGGGATGGGGATGGAGGGGAAGGTGGAACACAGGGCAGGGAATAGACACAGGATAGTTTGGTGCTGGGGAGGGGGGCATTATATAAGAAGGGAGAGGGGAATGGAAGAACAAAGCAGATGGGAGAACAATTAGGCAGGTTTGCATGGGCTAAGTGGGACAGAGGTATGCTTCTAGCCGCTCTAGGCTGGTCTGCTCGTCCTGTCAATGGAAATTTCCCATCTTCAAGTATTGGTCCAGATTTTGTTTGCAATTGTCCACATTCACACCTGCACAGCAGTTACCTTAAACAGCAAGTGCTGATATGACAGTGTAGTCAACAGAAGTTGTAATATAACCAGCTGTGGATAATTTTTATTCATCCTTGCATTAAGGAGTGACAGACTGTGCCAAAGTAATCTAGAGGGAATAGCTGAGGATTGAGTAGAGTCAGGAAAGGCTTTTGAAAAGAGGAAGGTTGCAACTGGGTACGTGGACTTGATGAGAGTGGACACTCAAGGATCGGTAGACTGCATGGGCACAAAGAAAAGAGTAAGTGCTTGGTATGAGAGCCAAGTGAGGAGTCTCCCCTAACCCACAGCTGAAAAAGTAAGAGCAATAAAATAGGAACCAGGTAGTAAAGTGTCTGAGAAGCTCGTGATACCGAATCCTTGAAGAAGGGAATAGAAAGCCACCACAACTCATAGTATATTTTACCATCTGCCATCCTGAAGCCAGTGTTTTAAAACAATAATAAATGATGCAGTATATCTTGACTTGTCTTGAGATGTGATTAATCTATATGAGTTCATCTTGTTGCAGTGTCCCGTGCCTACATGTCGAGGGAAGTCTTTCACTGCTCTCCGCAGTTCTCCTCTCACAGTTACGATGGACTGGCAGTCGATCAAGTAAGCAACCAACTGAAATAAATTTAAGGCAGGGTGTCTGTCTCTATCATATTGCCAAACAAATCTATAATTTTACTGGCTATGGTTTTTATCTGAAAAGAGTGAGAAAATATATAATAGGTTTATTTGATGAAGAGTTTCTGTGGAGAAATGATGATTGTCATTATAATAATTTAATCTCTTTCAGATTCTAGAAAAGAATTTGATGTCTAGGAATTATGTTCTACTAAGAAGTTGCTGTAGTTAACTGCCTTAGAGGCAGTTCCATCAGTTTCGACTCATAGTTACTCTTTGGAAGTTCTTTACAGGGTTTCCAAGGAGCGATTGCTGGGTTTGAACATCAGACCTTATCGTAGTTAGCAGTCCAGTGCTATCATAGTTAGCGTACAGTGCCACCCCTGGACTCCCCTGAGAAGTAGTTCATTTTATATCTCAATTATGTGATTCACTGAACTGGAAATTGACTGTAGTGAAAGCTATATTCATTCATTCCATAATGATGGCAATAATGTTTTGAACTTCTGAAGTAAAGAATCCTGTGGCCATGTTTCATTTCATGTTCTCACTATGTCACTAGTGATGAAGCATGTAAAAAAAAAAAGGCTTTGTAAGTCCAGATAGGGATGTGTGTGTGTGTGTGTTTAAAAGAAAGAAAAACCTGGCTGAAACAGCAGGTGATCCTAAAGAACTATGACCTCAGGGGTGAGGGTGGAGTGGGGGGGAAGTAAGATGACGCCATGGCTACCAAGTGCTTTTATTTCACCTCCCTTCTGCCCTGTAAAACCATTTCACCTCCCTTTTGCTGTGTAAAAACCAATAGGATAGCAAAAGAATTACGGTACATTTGTACATTTTCCTAAGATCTTTTCAAACATTCCATTTCATTTATACAGAATCACTAACAAGTTTGTGACTTTGTCTTCATTTTATCCATTCTGCTCTTTATTTCTCTTCACTGGTTCATTTAATCCACTTGCACTCAGTGTAATTATTAATAGATATGAATTGATGATCATTTTTCTGTGTGTCTTTTTGTAATGATGCTGGATTCTTTGTTCACCTAATTTTCTATACTGAGTTCATTTTGTTTGTGGGTTTTCTTATTCATTTTCATTTATGTGTGTTTCTGTTTACTAAGTCTTTCTAGTTTATTTTGATGTGCATGTATATTATTTTTCTTTGCGGTTACCCTGTAATTTATTAATTTTTCCCCCACTTAAAGCAGTCTGTCTTATCTTGAAATCTGTTTGATTTCCTTGCCAATTTGAAAGTTCTGTATTTACACTATTCCCACTTTTTGCTTTGGAGTTGTCATAGTGATACATTGATATTTCTGGTTCCGTAGTAGCGTAGTGGTTATGAATCGGGCTGCTGATCTCACAGTCAGCAGTTCTAAACTACCAGCTGTTCCATGGGAGAAAGATGAGACTTTCTGCTTCCGTAAAGATTTACAGCCTCAGAAACCCTGTACAGGGTCACTATGAGTCAGAACTGACTCTACGGCACATAACAGTTTTTAGTCTTGTAGGTTTGCTTTACTTTAAATACTTCCATGTTTGGATTGAGTTCTGGGTGCTATTGTCATGAACGGTAATCTCAGATTGTCACCTGCTGTTATTGGTTCTCAGTCCAAAGAACACCCTTTAGCATTTATTGTAAAGTTGGTGTGGGCATTACAAATTCCTTTCATTTCTGTTTATTGGGAAATGTCCTAGTTTTGCCATAGTATTTGAGGGACAGCTTTGCTGGGTATTTGATTTTTGGTTGGCAATCTCAGAGTTTTGTATATGTCATTCTGTTGACTTCTGCCCTGCATGATTTCTTCTAAGAAATCAAAGCTTCATCTTATAGGTTCTCCTTTTTGTGTAACTTTTCATTTTTCCTGTGCTACTCTCAGAATTTTTTCTTTGTCTTTGATTTTGGAAAGTTTGATTATGTCTTGGTGATATTTTCTCTGTGCTTGTCTCTTTTGTTCTGGAATTCTGATATCACCTGTAAGTTGTTCCTCTTCATGGTGTTCCACATAACTCTTAGGCTTTTTTTTGGACTTTTTTCATTCTTTTTTCTGATTGTTTTTCTGGCATACTAGTATTGAGAGATTTATCTTCAAGTTCACTAATTCAGGCTTCCATTGCTTAGAATCTGCTCCTTTGCCCTTTCAATGTATTGTCCATTTCTGAGATCTTTGTATTAATCTTCTGGATTTCTAATTGAAGGTTTTGTATTATTTGAAAATTTGCATTTATTTTGTCTGTTTGTTCTAGTAGTGTTTAACTGAATTCTTCTATAGTTTTTATTGTGTTTCCTTGTTTTCCTCAGTCTAACAATCCTCTGAAGGTACCTAATTGTCATTCTTTTTTATTCTTTTTGTTAGTTCTATTACCCTTTTTTACTCAGAAATGTCTTCTGGCTCTGTATCTGGGTTATTTGTTTGATCCATTCTCTCATTTCTTCATGTGAGCTAAAATTGTCTCTGGTGCAGTTGTTGGACCAGGAACGGAGAAATCTCTGGGGGGCTCCTGCAATTCAAGGACCTCATAAGGTGATTGTGGAAGGGATGTGACAGCAGAGTTCATGGTCTTAGATAGAGTTCCTGTTGGCTTGCTGTTTTGTTTAGGGCACTCAACCAGAAGTAGTTCATAGGGGCCCTTGATGGAGCTAGTTTCAGTGTCTGTTGGGACCACAGGGAAGCTGGGAGCAGGGTGACTGGTTAAATGTTGGTCTTGTGGATCTGAGGGTTTTGTAGATTTGGGTGGAGCCCACCTACATCCAGGCACCAAGATGGCACACCAAAGCGACGCAGCTGGCCCCCATATCCGGCTGGCGTGGTTCCCAATTGTGTGTCTCTGAACTCCCAAAGAGTAGGTGCCACACTTGGAGTGGATGAGGGTGGGAGCTGGCAACACCAAGGGAGCATAGGGAAAAAGAAGAAATTGCACCTTTTCTGTTGCTCACGTGAATGCCAGTCCTCCCTCCACTGCTAAAGCTGCTCACAAGATGGTTGAGCTGTGTCTGGCCAGCTGTTCACCTGTCAGTCTCCCTCTCTCACCATCACTATTCGGCCTCTCCTCCCAGCAAGCACTCCATCCACCTCTCTAACCTTTCTTCTGAAGTTCAGGGTGCCATAATTTTCCTCTGTGTCTCTTTTATTTTGTCTCTCCTACCTTTGTTGTAGAAGGCCAATATAGTGTGTCTCTCTAGTCCACCATCTTGCTGGAAGTCCTGGCTTTTACTCTGTTTTGTAAAAGAGGAAATAAGTAAGACTTGAATGTGATCCATATGCCTTGTGAGTGGTGGACCCTGGTTTCTACCCCAGGTTGTGGGACTTTTCACCACTGAAGAAGGTGAAGGGGTGGGGAGGCAGCTCAGAGGTGTTGTTAAGGTTCATAGTAGGACATATACAGAGATGGTCCAGGGTGATTTCATATACGTAAACAGCATCCCTTCCCGCCAGTGAAAATAGCAGATGAGGAAACTGAATTATTTTCCTTGGATTTGGGTGATGATCTCCTGATATGAGGAAATCAAACTTGAAAAGTAATTTTAAACCAAAGATTTTTTATATCTTTTTTTTTTTTAATCTTTTGACATAAAGTGATGCTCAAACTTATTTTAATTGAGCTAGTTATAATAAAACCTTGTCCATATGCAATTACTTACTTAATTGTTTTCTTCTATGGCTAAAGTAACTTTTCGCTGTATAGAAGACGGATCCCCCTCCTGTCGTAACATAAATTTTTTTTTTTTTTTTTTTGCCCCTGAGGCTGAAAGTATATTTTCACTGTGTTAATAACAAAAATTTATAAACAGTTTATATGTTTATATGAAGAGGAACGATTATAATCCCTGGTACAATGGATTATTGTGTAGTGACTAAAGATAATGTTACAGGAGGATATTTAAAAATGAAATTTAAAAAAATTTACAATGTTATTTAGTTAAAAAAAAAAAAATTGGTTACAGAATGTTATCTGATTTACAGTCCTGAATTTTATACAGTCCTGGTTTTGTTTTTATTTTTTCACCTTCTGTATGCATATTATTTTATTTTATCATTATTTTTTAAGTTTTGTGAATTGAGTGAAAGTTTACAAGGCAGATCATCAGTTTTACATTCAACAAATCA